TATATCCAAAATGTATAAAACCAGAATCAAAAGTTACATGAAAAGCAAAACTCATAATTTATTATGGCATTTTGGCACTAAAAAGATACCTAAAAAGATATCAAGTTCTACCATTGTCTTCACATTATTAAAAAGATCCCAGGTAAATGAAACAGAATTATTCCTATATAGTTAATTATTATAATTACAACTATAGGTCAAGTCAAAGTAATTAAGCTTTTGCAAATGTAGCACAGCTAATGAACAGTAATCAGTGGACATTTTTTCTTAAAAACACAAATCTTTTTAACATGAGATAATTCCTGTTATTACTGCAATATAATGGTCAAAATTGAACACTTGTGCTGATTGGGATTTTAAATCTCCTGATGAATTCTAGGTCACACCTGAGAAGTACACGTGTGACAGTCATATGTCACAAGGAAAACAGTCATGTGACCCAAGGAAAACACCCTTTTCTAGAAAATATTAAGTATACATGGAGTACACAAACACAAAACACATTTGTTTTGCAAACGGTTATTAGGTTCAAATTTTATAATCTTGCTTTGGACACCTATAGGTCCCATACACAATTCTGCTTTCACAGAAGATGAAAAATGCGTATTTTAGATTAACATGTATACTGTTTTGTCATTTATCTTCTGACCAGTAAGGTAAATCTAATAAAGCAAGACACACAATTATAGGAATTTGGGTTCATTTTCCAAACAGCAAAATAAAACAAGTCAGATGGAGCAAAGAAAGCATTATAGTACCAGCTGAATGCTTTTCTCAATAATAAAATTAATTTCCAAAATACAGGTAATGTACTTTACTTTTGCATACTGGGTAGTTTTCATTCAAGACTTTATTCCTGGATTCATCTTCTTAAAGCAGTTTATATTCTAGTTATAACTTCAAAAGATAGGGCAAGAAAATCAAGTATTTACAGTTTTTCCCTTCCATTATTTGCTTTTTATTTTTCTTGGTGATTTAAGAATGTCTGATGATTGGAGTTTCCTTCAGGGACTAAGGAAAGCAGAATCAAAACCCACTGCAATTCAGGGGAGTCTTCTTTCTCAGAAATGGACATTCCACATATGTTCATACCACTGAAGTTTTTCAGCCAAGCCAACCATGCATGTTCCTCACATGACCAAAAAAGGCAACCAGCAGCGATGTGCAGTGAGCCTGTGTGTGTATACACAGGTATCCCACACACACTAGATGGATGTGTCAGTACATTGTTTCCCCCTTCATCTGCCACGGGAGACCCATCACTTCGGCTCGCCCCAGCTCTGTGCAGCAATGGCTCTTATATCCATACTCATTTGTTACTGAATTCCCCTTTTGCTGCACCACCCTGGGGTTTCCAGTCTGAAACATAGAATCGATCCACTTGTAATCCCTTCCTGGAAGGCAATTTTACTCCTGACTCCCTAAGTAATGCAGGAACGATACAAAAGTGCAAAAAGCGCCAAACTTGGGAAATAGTGCCATTATGGTGTTATTACAAGCATTTTCCTTAAAAGTACTTTTATAACAGCAAACAATTAAAACTCTGTTCATTATCAGCAACCATGAGTCTTGCTTACCTTAACACTTTCAACTGCTTCAGCTATTCTCTCCTTCAAATCTGCAGAAGAGTCATGACTGTGGTGCTGGAGATCTCTCACAGCTATGTCAAAGTGATTGCCCTTCAGCTGACCAAGTCTGAGGTGCTGGTATGCTGGACGGATGTTGTATATTTTCATACCCTTCTTTTCCATTTTGTTTCCAATTTCCTTCAACCTGAATGAATAATTGGGAGAATTTATGAGCCCTCCTCTACTAAAGCTATACTACTTCTAATGGATGTCTTTTTCATCTTTGCACCGACACAAAAAACACTTATAAAAATAAAATGGGATGCAAAACAATTATTATGAGAAAACCAAATCAAATGAAGAGATAGAAGTCTTAAAATTTAGTTATAATCCAGAAATACGTTTTAAATGATTGGCATTTTTATGATATTGACAGATGCTGGAATTAAGCAATTCATGAAACTTTCTCAGAGTAACTGCACTGAATTTTTAATTTTTTTAATTGATAAACAAGTTATTTTTTTACTCTTTACTCCTCAAAACCTGTTTTTCATTAAAGAAAAAGGAAAACAAAAGGTAATGTGCTCTAGCAGACTCCAAAACACAACTCTGTCAGACTTAACAAAAACAAATTCAGTGCACTGATTCTCTGGGTGTGCTCACACATGCTTGTAATTGGAAACACAGCTGGCAGTTCAAATATTTACCCTTTAAAATATCCACTCAATCTCTTTGTTCTTATAAGAACTTCTTTATAAATAAGTGTCATTCAAGTCAAAGGAAAATTTCAGCATAAGAGCTCGAATCCTAAGCAATATTTTAATAACTTCATAAACTGTTCATTTATAAAAAAATATTTTTTTCTCTTGCTGTGTGGATGCACTTACCTATCTTTCTTCATCATTGAAACACTAACACGAAGTTTTGCTAATTATCTCTTGGACAACTGGCCTTACAGTCCAGTTAGCAGTAGAGTTTTACCATTGGCTTGAGTGCCAAGCTGCATATTGCCTAAAGCCATTTCCACTGTGCTCTATACAGGCAAGGGGAAGACACATCGCTAAGAATATTTCAAGAGATCATACCATGTTGATACTTATTAACACCAAAAACTACGTGCTAAACTGCTTGCACCCAGATTTTAAGTACCTCTCAGGAGTCACCTTCTTCACCACCATAGGCTGCAAAGTGATAGCCTTCTTATCTTTGATGCCAGTGTAACTGAAGTCTGAAGGAAGAACATCAAGTTCAGCTGCCAACAAGCCGATGGCTTCCAGTGTTTCTAGGTTTTCTTTCTGAAGGGTGAAAGCTGGAACAATCATCTCAGAATTATTAGAAACTTGCCTTTATGTTTCAGTGTTCTGCCATGAGAGATGTGCAGGTTCTTCCCCTCAGACTGTAACAGCACAGAGACTGTAAAGAAACTGCCCTCCTACCCCACAAAACTAAATCATATGGGACTTTTACAGCACAGAAGGAAAAAAATATATACACAAAACTCAGACCAACCAAAAACCCTGATGCCTTTAAAAAGACTACCTCATAAAATGCAACACAATTCAACAGACATGCATGGACATATTGCAGGAAACATTCTCTGTGTCAGAGAATGCTTCGAAGAGTGAGATCGTAAGTAAAATTTGAACCTTACTAACTTGTTCAGTATCTAGATGCACCTCCTAAAATCCCACAATTACTTTCAAGGGAAAGCTATCACCTTGGGAATGCCACAGTTAGTTAGTGGCTACAATTAAAAGAACTGTAACCATTATCAGAGAGCAGTTTATACCAAATCGCTGCAGTAACTTGATTCCTCCATTTCATTCTCCAGGGATGTAACAACACTGCATTGATAATTATTCATTTCAACATAAAACAGTGACTTGACAGGCCTATGTGTCATATAAAAATGATCCTGAGTACCAGTCTTATCTACAGAACACCATAATACCTGCCACCTTCACTAAAAATTTACAGTATTTACCTGTATAAACATCTTGTTTCTCCTGAAAACCACCAGCACATCTTTTTCTGGACCCACTTTTTTCTCGAAACCGTACCGTTATTGATGTATTTGGCTGATCATTGACATCTGTCACGGTAAAAGATTTTGTTTCTAAAAGCTTTCCAAATTTTCTATTGATAAAGTGGTGAACTGTTTTTCTGTGCTCTTTGTTTCCATCAGGCTCAAAGGAAAACGTAGAATTTTCTAGCTTTGCGTCTAAAAATTTAAAGAAATTACTCGTTTCCTTTTCAGTCACTAATTGACAAAGTTCTCTATAATCAGGATTCCCTTTTACAATCATTTCATTGTCTTTGGTAAGAGTGACTAGAAAGGGGAATTTCTGCCTAACAGCACTGTGTAAATCTGCTCGAATTTTCTTGTCCAGCCTCGGTCCTAGCGAGAATTCCCTAGCACCAGCATCCGCGCCGTTTTCCGAGCCCCACGCATCCTTCACATCGCAGGCAAATTTGCTGAGCAGCTCGCTCGCCGTTTTGCCGAGTAAGGACTCCAGCACAGGGGCTTCCCCGAGGCCGGACTGCAGCCCGGGCTCTCCCTCACGCTCACTTCTGCCCGGGGATGCAGCACAGCCGCCTCCCGCCCGGCCTGGGCCGCGCCCCGGGGGCCCGGGCGCAGCATCCCGGGGGCACCGGGGGGCACCCGGGCCGGGGGGCTCCGTCCTCCGCCTCTTGGGCTCCCGCGGACACGGGCCGCTCTGGGCCGGCGGCGCTCCGCTGGTCGTCTGGAGCAATTCAGCTCGGGAGTCCCCGAGGAAGAGTTCGGGCGCCTCGAGCTCTGTCACTACGAAGTCGCTCGGCGAGTTTTTGATAGTGCCGCGGAAGCCGGTGTGCTCGCTCAGGTAACTGAAGGAGGGCAGCATGGCTGCGGCCTGCCCTGCTCCCGCTGGGCCGCAGAGGAAAAAGGGAGAGGGGCGGAATAGCATCAACTGCTACGAAGGGCAGGAAGGCAGGCAGGCAGGGATGGCTGGACGGACGGACAGATGTATGGATGCAGGGTCGCACGCAGGGAGCGAGGCACGGACAAGGGTACAGGCAGGCAGGCAGGCAGGCAGGCAGGCGGGAGCGCTGCGCGCCCGGAAGCTACCGCCAGAGGGCGCCAATTCCTCCTCCGCCCCGCCTCTCATCAACCGGGGCCTAAGGACGTTACCAAGTTCCCCAGGGCCGGGGGGAAAGACGACGAGCCCCGCCTCCTCGCGGCCGGACATGGGGCGCGCAGGGGGCGGGGCCCTTTTGACCGCCTATGGGAGGGCCAGGTGGGAGAGCGCTTCCGCTGTGTCATCACCGCGCCGGTGACGTCAACAACACCGGGGGGCTGGGCCCCGCCCCCTTAAAGGGGAAGCGTAAAAGGCGGAGGGGAAGGGGTGCGCCGGTACCACCCGGCGGGAAGCTGGGCCGGGAGCGACGGTGAGGCATGAGGGGACTCCGGGCGGCACCGCTCCGGCTGCGGGTGCAGGGGGCGGTCGCTGCGGCAATGGTGGGCGGGAGCTGCGCCGCTGGGGCGGCCCCGGCGGGCCGGGGGCGGGTGTGGCCCCTGGCTGGGCGGCCGCTTCCCGGAGCGCCGCGGGGATAACGCTGTGTCCCACCAGGAGCGGAGGATGGGCGAGCCCGTGACGGATTCCACGTTCGTCCGCTGCCTGAGCTACGGGCTCGTGAGGCGGCTGGCAGAGTTCATCGACCCGCAGGAAGGGTGGAAGAAACTTGCGGTGGATATAACCAACCCGTCCGGTGAAAGCAGATATAGCCAAGCGCACATAAGGTCCTCCATCAAAGTCCCGTAACCTAAACGCGTGCATTTCCCGTTCGACACCAATACCTTGTTAATCCCGCTTTCCTTCCCATTACCTTAACTTGCCGCACTTCCTGTGCTGTGGGCGCTTGTGTCTGATAGTCCCATTTCCTTAGGGAACGCGAGGTAATTACTCCTAATTTTACTGCAGCTCGGGTGTTAAGCAAGCCTCAGAAAATTGACTAAGGAAATTAGGATTAATTAGAACACACACATGGATATTTTTAGCAATACAGCACGGGCTGCATAACTTTGTGTACCCTAAAGACTAGTAGGCGTTGATGTTATGGTGCCCAAGAGACAGCTGTACTGTAACTCCTAATTCACTGCTTCCAAGAAAATGCCCAATAAATGTGAGGAGCCCGAGGCCTAAAACTAACAAGTTTGCTTGCAATATTTTGTAAGCGCCTCATTGCTTGAAGGGCTTGTTGAATCTTTGTTGAAGCTGTTTCAAAGATTTTTAGATGCTGTACATATCATCTTGGATTTCCAGTCTTTTCTAGTAATGGTGGTATTAAATCTTTGTTTTTCTTTCAATAATAATATTAAGTCAGTCAGAATACTGGCTCTCCTGTTCTTCTTAATGCCCATCTCAAAATATTCAAGGTGGATGTAAAACAATTATTTTTGCCATTTGATCTGTGTCTGACTTGCTCTCTGTCGCTGGCTGACATTCTCTTCTTTGTTAGTCCAAGATGCCAGTATATTATGGACCCTAGACAAACAGCTGAAGCTTTGCATATGTGTATTTCCCATAGTTTTTCCCATATTTTGCATGCCTTTATTCTGATTTTAAATGTGTCCAGGTTTTTTTGGCTGTGTTTTCAGAAGATTTTTTGCAGTACATTCAGATTTTTTTTTTTTCAGTGTGGATTTTTCTTATCATTTGCCTTTGATCTCTTTCCCTTCATGCTTCTTGAGGTAATTTTTTCATTTTTTTAATACTGGTCTTAATATTTATCTTTTAAGGAGATTTGAGGCATTTGTACAGATGGGAAAGAGCCCCACCTGTGAATTGCTTTATGACTGGGGAACCACAAACTGTACAGTTGCTGATCTTGTGGATCTGCTGATAAGGAATCAGTTCCTAGCACCAGCAAGCCTTTTGCTTCCAGGTAACTTGTTACTCTTGAACATTTTGTACTGTGTTCTCAGTTTTCTAAGATGCTAAAGAACTTCACACTAACTTGAAAATCAGAAAGGATTAGGTTAAAATAACCAAAAGTGAATATACTTTCTATCATTTGTAATAACAGTTTAAGTAAGAGTTTCAAGTTTCAATAAGAGTGGTGGAGTTTACACATAGTGGCACAATATAACCTGGTGATTCTTATGTGTTTCCTAATTTTCAAAAATACTGGCATTAACATTACTTAGTTTTTCTCTGGTCCCTAATGTAGTTAACGCTTTTTCTAAATTCCCTTTTCAGAAGCTGTAAGGATGCCACAGGAAGTTACATTACCTCTTTCTTCACAGGAAACCTTGCCTATACATGAGAAACAACTACCTGTACAAGAAAAAAAAGTGGCATCTGTAAAGCCTGCTTTAGCTCAGAGTACTGAGAAGCAGCATTCAGATTCTTCCTACTCATGTGAAAAAAACAGCAGCTCACAGTCCAGTAACACAGGTAGACATTTACTTTGGTAGAATTCAGTGCTATTTTTTTGCTGATCTGTCCTTCACCCCATGTGAAATAAATCATGGTGGTGCATGAGAATGATGACTATTCCTGTCATGGTACATCTGTGGGAAACAGCATCTTGCCAATAAATCACCTACTTTTAGGGAAAACTTAACTGTTAATTAAATTGCAATTTCTTTTTTGCCACATGTAATCCTATTGTGCTTTTCCAGTACCTATTTTATAGACTGTTCAGTGTCTCATGCTTTGAAACTAGGTTTTGTATGTCAGAAATGACTAAGAATGCTGGAGAAAAGATGATTTAAGAAGGCATTTTAGGAAAGTGTATGGTTGGTCTGTTCTTTCCTAAAGGTTCACATTTGGGTTGCTGCCAGGAACATGATGTAACCTTGGTGTATTTTTTGCATATAAGGCAGTGTGGCTCTCTCTGTGATCTGTACACATTTAATTTCTGCTGCCTGTATTACAAGTATGAATCAAAAATACAATCAGATGTGTGCTGCAGTGTTAGTTGTGAAGAAAATGATGCACAGGTAATTGTCTAGGTTTATCTGCCTTCCTTTTGTGTTTCTGGCATCTTCATTACAGAGCTGGAAGTAGGGCTCCACTACGTCAGGTTTTGTGCAGTAGCAAGTTTTTGTTTCAAGGGAACTGAAACGGAAAACCTTGTTCCTTAAGCGAAAACATAGTTTTATGCTAAATGTCAATGTCTTTCAGATTTCCAGAATTTTTTGTTTCATGACTTGGAAAGCATTACAAATAATTTTGATGTGCGACCAGAATCAGCTGGAGGTAATAAACTGGGAGAAGGTGGCTTTGGCATTGTGTTCAAAGGCTACATCAATGGCAAAAACGTGGCTGTCAAGAAGCTCATTGCTGTGAGTTGTCCTGGGGATTTTTCATTTTAATGACTGTGTACTTTATAGAATAGACTTGTTTATGTTGTTTATTATGAAAAGTGGTGAATGATAGATTTCCAAGTGTTGTCACTGTCCTATATATTGGTTGGATTAAGAAACTTATCCTTAGTCCCATCAGTGTTGCAAGTCAGCACAGTCACAGGAGCCAATTCTTGCCTTCTCTGTAGTTGTCCTTTGAGAGGCTAAGCAAGGTGTTGGGAAGAGCAGAGTGCTTCCCCAGTTGTTTTCCCCTCACCCTCAAGAAGTGCCAGAAGAGAAGGGATCCTAAGATGGTTTCCATTTCAGATTAGGATGGCCGAGATTCACAAGCTAAATTGTCACAGATTTTTAGTCTTCATAACCATTGTTTTGTGTGAATAGTGAATTTGGTAATTAAGTGCTATTAGGGTGTGACTGCAGTGAATGGAGTAAGTTGCTGATTGCTGAAACTGGATCCATTTATCCACTTATACATTATTCCAAGGAATTTAAAGTCACATTCTGTTACTTTATTTTTGGACTGAGTAGCAGGTGTATTGTGAAAAGTTAACTAAGAACGGCTTGAAATTCTTTTTTTTTTTTTTAATGAACAACTGTGCATTTATTATGAACCAATGATGTTAATATCAAATACTTCTTTTTATAGATGGTTGATGTTAGTGTTCAGGACTTGAAACAGCAGTTTGAGCAAGAAATAAACATAATGGCAAAGTGAGTACATCATTATATAATTTTTGTCTTTCTAAGATAACAGTTTGCTGAAAATGTTAACTGAAAACATTTAACTGAAAATGTTTCTTGTACAGCACAATCACATTTTGTTTGTTTTAAAACATCACCACACAAAGCTGGCTTTGTGCAGTAGAGGTGAAACAAGTAGTTGTGAACCAAGTTCCCTCTACCTTGTGTTTTCCTCAGATGTTGAGAGTCTTTCAGAGCACGTGTGAACAGATTTTTCTTTTTTTTCTGTAGGTGTCAGCATGAAAATTTAGTAGAATTACTTGGTTTCTCAAGTGATGGTGCTCAGCCATGTCTGGTGTATGAATACATGCCCAATGGTTCATTGCTTGACAGGCTTGCTTGTCTGGTAAGTGAAATCTCTTCTAGCTTCCAGTTGCCTTACTTTGCCCAAGTACAGGAATCTGTGGAATGTCTTTCAAATGGAACTGAACTTTGATGTCCAAATGATGTTTTACTACTTTCTTCTTGTGTTCTAATAACAAGTGTCCTTCCAATAAGATTTTACAAAAACATTTTAGATAAAGTCAAATCAGGCTGTCAGTGCAATGTCATGTACTGCTATCTGAATCATCGTAGAAGCTTGCACTGACTGTGCCTGTGTGAGGCAGTGCAGAGGGTGCTGCAGTCTTGTTCCCAGTTCTTACGTTGGCATGTTCTCTCCTGAGATTCTGCAAAATCTGTGAAACTGACCTTGTTCACTGTCCTTGTGATAGTGGTTATAACACAGTGCTCATAGTCCGCTTATCTCTTTCTGAAGTACATAAGTAAATGTGAATTTCAATTTAAAAAAAATATTATTTTGTATAAATGCTTAAGATTTAATCAAATGGTGTATGTTCTAGCCTTGGCCTTAAGTACCAAGTTGCTTTGGTTTTGTGAGGTGACTCTGTGTATCAAGGACACACAGTCCAATAACGAGCCAGACTTAAGGTAGTAGATCAGTGTCTGTGTTAATTTGTGAAGGAGTTCAAAAAAAATCTGCTTAATACTAAACAATTGCAGCTTCTGAGGTTGTAATCTGGTGAACATTTTATATTGGTGCTACTTCAACCACCCATGTCCCCAGACCTAAAATGTTGGGCTTGCTTTTTTTTCTGCACTGATCCTCTGGTTGTACTGGTGCAAGCATCTGTCATTTGGAGAAAGATCTGGATTAGGGAACTGACCAGACTGATAAAATAATACTTGGTGAAAAAAAAATTTAATTTTCATCAGGAGACATTCCCTTTGTAGGGCTGCACAAACACTTCTGCTCCAGTAGGAAAAAAGTGGTGCTCTGATGAGAATGAATAGCAGTGCTTGGGGAAAGAACCAGTTCTGTTAGCACTGCTGTCTCAGTTTAGATTGATTTGTTTGCCTGTATACACTGCTGTAGATGCAATTATTTTTTTTTAAACTGAATCAGTGCAGAAGAGAGACTAAGTCTTACCTAAGGACAGTGCAAGTTTATCTGTAGAAATGAGCAGCACTTAACAAGGATGTATATGAAAATGGTCATCAATGTAACTAGCTGTTATCATCAAGGGATCTTTAAAGATTGGGGATAATTGAAAGCTAAAGGAGAAATAAATGTCTCTTCCTTTACAAGGAATAGACATATTTATGGCATAAATCAAGGAATCTAAATCAGAATCTATAAACTAGAAAGAATATTTTTCTAATAAGATCAGAGAGGTGAGTAATGTATTTACTTGAATATCTGTTCTTGCTGATAATTTAATTTATCCAGTGACTTCACTGGATGTGTTTGATGTACAGACTCTTGTTTGTGTCATCTTTGTGTCTGGATGTGGAACAGGCAAGGAAGGTGGTAGAATGGTGAGATGCTGTAATCCGCTTCGCTTGGCCACTGACAAGATTTTTGATGACTGGTTTTTAAATGTAGATGTCCTTACTTCTGAGGTTTAATTAGCACGAGTAAAGCTAAACTCTCAAGAAGTCCAAAAAACGCTGGAAAATTGACTTATTGTTGTTAGTAAAAACTGTGGCTTGCTTTGAATTATTTGCTTTGGGTTGAAGGCTCTGGTATCAGGGCTAGTACAAAGTTGGGAGTTGCAGTAGATACAGATAGGTCTTTGCAGAGCAGCTGGCCTTGGAGGGTCACAATCAAACATTAACCAAGGACATTTTTTGCAACTGGCAACTTAATCTAAGGCAAAATGCAGGAAGATAATGTAATGTGACAAAGGCATGTATTTCTGCCCAAGTCAATTAAGAAATGTATGCTGGTTGTGTTTTTGATCATCTACTTGAAAACAACAAAACATAGCAAGAAGTCGCTTTTGGGTTGTAGGGTTTTTGTATGGTTTGGTTTATGTGAGTATATATATTTTTTTTTGATTTTTACTTGCCTTTCTCTCTTCTTAATCAAGGATGAAACTCCACCAATTCCTTGGAATATGAGGTGTAAAATTGTTCAAGGTACAGCAAATGGCATCAACTTTTTGCATGAAAATAATCACATTCACCGAGATATTAAAAGGTAAAACCTGCAGACTATTGCTGGCTGCATTTTCACATTTTAATTTTTCTTTTTCCTCTTTCCCCTGTTAAAATAATTTTAGAGAGAACAAACTGCAAAAAGAATTACTTCAGTCAAGGGCACAATCTTCTGCAAGTGACATCCATCTCCACAATCTTGTCTGTACCACAAGGACATGACCAGTAGAGACTTCTGAAGATAATTATGGGTCTAGAACCATAGAATTGCTTAGGGTGGAAAAGACCTTTAAGATCATCAAGTCAAACCATTAACCCAGCACTGCCATGTCCACTGCCAAACCACATCCCAAGATGCCTGCACCTACATGTCTTTTAAATATCTCCAGGGCTGGTAGCTCCACCACTTTCCTGGGCAGCCTCTTTCAGTGTTTCACTTGATGAAAAAATTTTTCCTAGCACCTAATTAAACCTCCTGTGGCACAAATTGAGGCCATTTCCTCTTGTCCTATTGCTTGCTGCTTGGGAGAGGAGACTGACCCCCACCTGGCTCCAGCCTCCTTTCAGACAGTTAATTGTAGAGTGCAAGGTCTTCCCTGAGGCTCCTTTTCTGCCAGTTCCTTTAGCTGCTAGACAGCTTTCCAGCCATGAGAATTTTGCATTGTAATTGTAATTTGTGTTATAAATGTAATATGTAAATTGTAATATATATCTTAAATTGTAATTTGTATCTGTTACTTTCAAATAGTTATTTGAGTGCCGTGAGAACACAAAAAGTTCTGTTCTCTAACTGCTTCTAATGAAGCTGCTGTTGAAGAATAATTAATTTTTAAGTAGGGAATTTTTCAGATAAAAGCACATCTCTCTTTTTCCTTTTTGTAGAACACTTCTTCAGAGTGTCTCCTTTCATTTACTCCTCTTTTTTATGAATACAGTAAAATTACTTCAGTCAGGTTCATGAAGTTCAAGGTTCTTCAATGATAATGAATGGTCATTGGTTGTTATACCGGAGTTTTTTTCTATGGATATCAGAACTCAGAATAGGCGAGGGTTTTGTTGTAGAGTTTGGTTGGCTTTTTCTGGTATTTTTGTTGCTGTTTGCTTCCTCTTTCCTGCTAGAGTTTACTCTGTTAGTTTTTTTAAAAAGAAGCCCAAATCTTTGAAGCAAAGCCCCAAGTGCCGTGCTCCTTCTGGTGGTTAAGAAGGAGCAACTGACTGATTGGGTGTTACAGATGAATGTTTCAGTAGCTTTCTGGTTTCTGGCAACTCTGCTAAACACAGGCAAATTCAGTTTTGTGACCTTTCAGCTTGGGGGGGTACGAGCATTTGCTTCAGCTGCCTCATGTATGTGCTTGCTGCTTTGACAGTTTGTTTCTTCTTTCTTCCCTGCTTAAGCCTCTGGAGAAGTGTAATGACTGCAAGGGAAGCACTTTTTTACCTTACGCTGCCTCTGCCCTTCTAACTGCTGTGAGTTGATAATTTTAGAGAATTGGGTTTGGGTTTTTTTTAGTTTGAATAACATTTTGCAACTTGTTGTGTGAATAGTTCAATACATTTGATTGGTACTATTAATAGTGCTGCCACTCCCAGATAATGTTAAGATGAAGAGACATCTAAGAAGATTACTTCAGTCTTCATTTTGCTGTGATGTGTAGATACCATTCATAAACACACAGGCATTAGAACAGCTTCTTTAGGCTAGAGGGGACAATATTTAATGGGTATTCTCACAGTTGTTCATAGTTTTTTTGGACTGGTTATGCCCAAGAAATAGTTCAGATCACATTTGAAGCCTGAAGTTGCAGTAAAATTTGCATTTGTTGTGCTTTTTGTGGTGTACCCAAACATAATGACCACTCTTTGGACTGACTCAAGTTGATAAGAAGCTTAGATTTATGAAGTTGTGTTCTTGTTCTCTTTTTTTTTTTTTTTTTTTAAAGTTGAGCTTTAAACAGGAGACCAGTGGGTGGATGATGCCTTGACAAGTGTCTGGCCTTTTGGAGTGGTCATATATCTAGCATTATTTCTAGCAGTTCTAACACCAAGTAATCCTTTGTAACTTACAGCTGTTTTAATTTTGTTCGGGTTTGGTGAACAAGAAGGAGAAGTTAGAAGTATAACTTTCTAGCAAGTTTTATATGTTATATCAGGCATTGTGGATTTCTTGCAGTTCCATTAAAGGGATCAGAGAATGAAGATTTCATAAATATTAAATCAAGCTATTTTAAAATGGTTTTAAGTGGTACAAGTTTAAAACCCAGTAGATTTCTGCTGTAATTCGTCCCACTGAGTATTTTATGAAAGCTTTAAGGACTTTAAGATGAGCCTCATTTGTCAGGGTTGCCTTTTTTTAAGGAAAGTAAAAGCTGGAGGTCAAGTGAAAACGCAGCACATAGAATATTCTAGCAGTAATTAAATTTTCTGGTTTTCTTTCAAGACAAGAATAAGAGTATTATTCATTCAACATGAATTTGTCATGGTTGACATAGTATTAGATAATATGTGTAAAAAATATGCCTTTGTTAGTTCTGAGCAGAGATTTAGACTGTAAGAATTAAACTATGATCCAGTAGAAGTTGATCAGAGCTAAGTATTCTCTGTTGTCCCTCTTAAAGACAAACTATAAATGTAACATAATTGGTCTGTTAAAATAAAGTTTTGTATTTCTAAGGTTTGGGGGGTGGGGGAGTGTCTATTTTTTTTCCTTGGATGGATCTTGCAGTCAGTTCTTCATTTATTTAGAGGAATGAGTTTTGAAATTGAGCAATTTCCAACAAAACTAAATTTACCTAACTTGTTTTATGAGTAATGTATAAATATCTTAGCTTTCAAGATAGTCAAAATAGCAGTTAACATTTGGTTACTAAAGAATTATTAGACCTTTTAAAACCTATTTTCTGTACTGTTGGGAAAATTCTCTTTTTTGTTTTTTCCCCCACCTCCCCTCTCCACCAGTGCAAATATCTTATTAACTGATACATATGTGCCCAAAATTTCTGACTTTGGCCTCGCAAGAGCATCGGTAACATTCACACAGACAATCATGACTGAGAGAATTGTTGGAACAGCAGCCTACATGGCACCTGAAGCTCTGCGAGGAGAGATAACACCTAAATCTGATATCTTCAGTTTTGGAGTAGTAAGTAGAACATGGGAAGCAATATATGACTTATTTTGTTAATGATAAAAGCACAGAAAATCAAGAGTATCTGAAATGAAATTATTACTCTGGTCTATAATTTTTCTTTTTCCCAATAGATATTTTCTTAAGATAGTGTTTCTAAACTTTGACTGTGTTAAAATAATTTGAATATGTTGATTTGCTGTGTTAAAGACAAGAGTAAAATAATAGTTCAGGTTCTAGCTAAATGTGGTTTGAAGTAGCGTGGAACATTGTTTTTGCTTGCATAGTGTTGCACAAAAGTGTAACTCAGGCTAAAAAAGAAATCTTAAGAAAATGGTCCAAAATTGTGTTTTGCTATATTCAACACCAAAAATACAATGTCCATGTTGGATTTGCCTTAGAGCTGAGTACAAAAAAGACATGTGCTTAATATTTGGAAGAAAAATGAACCTATTCTGAATAGATCCAAGACCCTACTCTCTATTGGCCATTTCCTTCACAGTATTTAGTTTCATGGGAAGGTGGGCCCAACTATGTGTGAATACTTTGGAAATCCTTCAGTTTTGTTGTGAAGGAGCACCATGTAGGGTGAGAATAACTTGTGTTGAAATTTGTAACCCACACTGCTAATAACAGTTAATGAAAATAAAGGTAGGAACAAAACCAATGAATTGTATAGGAAATCTTTGTACAAACACAGATCCTGAGAGTATTTGTTGACAGGCTGGAGGTCATGCTCCTTTTTGCAGATCATATATATGCTAAGGGTTATTCTGTGCTTTATTTTCTCTTCTGATTTTTCTTCCTCCTAGGTCTTACTAGAAATAATAACGGGTCTCCCTCCAGTAGATGAAAACCGGGAGCCACAGTTGCTGGTATGTTCTTCATGCTTTCCTTCCTTCCCACTGCTCCTGGATCACCTTATATGAAATGATAGGTTAACAGGTTCTGAGACAATCAGTTGTTGGTCAGCAACTTCAGACTGACCCATAGAGGAAGGCAGAAGATCTGCCTGTACTCATTGGTGTCGCCCTGATTTTGTAAGACTTTGTTAAGCCTTCTGATGTTTACATTCTTTCAACAAACTTTCTCACACACAGTTCTGTAAATAACCTATGTTTTGCATTCTTTCATGGAGGTGGAGAGAATTGATGGACCCTTGGTCTGTCCAGTGGCATTGGAGAGGTGGCACTGTCACCCTCCAATCCACTGTCACCTTTAGAAATCTATAAATGTTGGAGTCAGAAAATAAAGTGTGTCTTTTTTGTTCCCCTCTAGAGCAGCAGTGTCTGTGTCATCATTTCATGCCTTATCACAACACATTGGCTCTTATTTATTCATTTGTGCTTCCTCAAACAGTACGTGGGATTACAGATAACCCACTTCGAGTGTGTTGGAACTGAGGACTTTTCAACTAAACCAGTCAGATTTAAAATTGATTTCTGACTAGAAGTTTCCAGCAGATAGCACTGAGACTGGAGACAGAAGATTAGTTTACAGACAGATTCATTTAAAGAAAGAGGCTTTATAAAAGTGATTAAAAAATTATACCAGATTAAGCTTGCATATTTGTGGGTTATTAGGATACTTAGTTGATTGTGCCTCTTCTCTTACAAAAGAAACAATACTAGAAAACTGAGCCTTGAAGTGAGAGACAGTTAAATCTGTATGATATGGCTTAAAGAAATTTGCTTTATGATGTTGTGGTAATTAAAATTATATAGAATAAAATAATTAATAAATTAATAAAAATTTATAATTTATTTATACTCTCACATGCTGTTCAGATACTTAGAGTGTTATCTTTTTGTTGGTTCAAATTCTCTTGTAGTTAAGTATAAAAGATGAAATTGAGGATGAGGAAGCAAATATTGAGGATTTTGTTGATGAAAAGATGAGTGACTGGGATGTACCTTCAATTCATAAAATGTATTCAATTGCTGATCAGTGTCTGAATGACAAAAAAAACAGAAGGCCAGACATTAAGATGGTATGTAGTCTTTCAGAAAAAAGGTTTATTTTGGGTGAGAGTGCGTGTGTGTGTGTATGGTTACAGTATCAGTTAATTATATTTCTGTCTGTTCTCTTCCAGGTCCAACAGCAGCTCCAAGATATAAAAACTTGATAATGTGTCTCTTCTGATAGTGTTTCTGTAATGGAGGCACCAGTACCAAACATTTAATCAGTATTTAGTGCAATATTATCAGTGATTCTGCTTTCCAGAACTTTCTGGACACATGTAAGGTGAGCTGTTGGCCTGTCAGGAACTCTTTCACATTTCCTTGGTCACTGGGCCCTTAACATGGGAAAACTCTTTCTTATATTAACAAATTGCAGTGCTGGTACATCATCTTCTCCTACAGCTTTTTAAATGCATTTCCATATTACATTCTATTTGATTCTTTTTATTTCCAAATACCTGCAAAAGCATATTACTGTAACTGGGCAGAATGTTTTTTTCTGCAAATTGCTTTCTTGATCAGATGTACAAGACCTTCGTCTATTGAAGACAAAACCATTTAATAGCTATAATGGTAGTTAATGTTGTCTTTTTGAGAAGTGACAATAGTATTACCCAGTTTAAACAAGCTTCTACTTAATATTTTAGCTTAAGAGTTCATACTAGAGTGAATGGTCTAGTACTGTTAGTGAATGTCATTATTATCAAAAAGTCTTTTTGGTGTTAGTTTTAGTCAAATAAAGGCTGCAAGACATTTTCTGGGTTATTTTTTTCATTTCAAGCGTTCCCAAGCAAAATAGTTATCTTGCTGTGCAGATGCATTTACATTTGCAAATGCTTTCTTACAGTGAATTCTATGATGACAAACCATTTAATTTTTATTCCCAGGAAGACTCTTAGCTACTTTGACTATTTTAGGAGGATTGAGTATTTTTAGTACTTTAGGCGAGGATTCCATATGGATTATAAATACAGATGGTTGCTTTTCTTAAAGGGGTCAGAATAATGATGTGAAGACCAATAATGCATTTTACTTAGTCAAATAATTAAGCTATTTTTAATATATATATATGTATGTATATTAACTAAATACAAAAATACACTTCTGAAAGTATAAATGGAAAGCTTTTTAAAATAGAAACATTGACAGATCAAAGCAGACTAAAAATGGAATGAAAGTGACTAGTAAGATTCCAGATACTTTGGACTAAGTGTGAACATGTTACCATTGTAAAAGAAAGATGTTATTTTCATATAAACTCATTTTGCACCTCGTGAACTTTCTTAATAGCTTAGGGATAAGAACACAGTCTGGCCTACAGTTAAATTTGAAATTCTGTGATTGTGTGACTTCATTCAGGAATATGTATCTCGTTGTAGGAAGCATGTGATTTCAATGTAATGATATCATTAGATTTCTGGCTGTTGATTCAGTTTGTATTGCCTTTTCAATCCGCTAGCTTAATTTAGAAACAAGAATCTACCTAATGGCTTCTAGATTTTTTTAGTATAAATTGTAAAAAACTGTTAATATATAAAAAAACCTCTGCATTATTACTTCTTTCTACTATTAAAACTTTGAGCCTTGAAAATAATCATCATTTTCTGTTGCTTGCATTTCTGTTAATAACATTATGGTAACCTCACTGCGTGGAATAAAGCTGTACGGGCCTGAACCTGGAGAAAAAAGCTGCTATAAAGCTGAATTAGAATAAAATGTGCTGAAGCCATTCTTCAGTCGTAAGCATCTCCAGCTGTTATGTTAAGGTTTCTTATTAGATCACATCTGCTTTTTACTATTCCCTGGAGCTGGAATACAGCTGTAGTGTTGTCCAAAAGTCTGTTTGCTGTAGCAACTCCCTGGTCAGCTCTTTTCACCTCTGGTAGGGTAGAACAATTTTGTTCATACACCAATTGTGATGTTCTTCAGTGTAAGGAGAATCTCAGCCACAAGAATGGGAGTTCCTGCTCTGTCATACTAGACCATTACTATTTGCAGTGCTGCTCTTAGCAGTGAGGTTTTGGCAGTAGTTTTCCCTTCCTCACTGAAAATGAAGCATGTCAGCTACTATTTCATACAATTTAGAAAAAAGTTTTGAACTTCTTTAGTGAAAATGAGGGGTTAACTCGGTAAAACTAGCTAACTTAGGTGGCAACTGTTTTTTTTTTTTTTTTTCAATATGCAGGGGGCAAGGAGAAGAACTTCCCTTTCCCACCCTAGATTTTTTTAAGGTCTCCATACAGTACAGTCAACATCTCTAAACACTAACAGAGGCTAAGAGCAGCTGATTTTAGTTTATTTTGTTCCCTGCAAAAACATTAAATTATCCTAGAATACATACTTCTTTGTGTTAGTTACTATACTAAGGCTTTCTGGGGCACAGATCAGTAACTTGAGTCATTCAAGATACTTGTAATGGGATGATCTGCTTTCATAGAACTGGAGCTGAGAGAAATCCAGTAGTATAGCATAGTAGTTCATGCTGAGCAAGTAACAACAGATAGAACTGTTCAATCACCAGTCAACTACTTCAGCATTTTAAAAGGATAGAAGAAATTTTCAAAGGGGAATATTACTGAAAGCACAAAATCCTCAAGAGAACAACACCCTTGATTCTGCTACGGAGCCCTCGGTGCTGCTCCGCTACAACAATGAGAAAGTAGCTGTTTCTAAGTTGGTGATTTTTCTCTACTAGCAAAAGCCAGGAATTCTGTTTCTGCTCACCTCCCTTCTTACACCCCGCCATCACTTTCTAGTTCCATGGGAACTGCCTATTACACATTCTGATCTTAGAAACTAGATCTTTATTGAAGAGACTATGAAATTATTCAGACAACACCAAGCTAAAGCATCAATCTTTATTTATAAAGTAAATTACAAAATAGATAAGGTAAACTTAGTTAATTTTAGCATCTGAAGGTGGCTTTCATTGAATACATAAACACACTGACGAAATTTTTTATTTACAGTGTCAGTCTGAGCAACAGAGCAATTTTTACCTTGATTAGTTTAACCATTGGTAGGAGTGTTTTAAAAGATCGAGATCTCCCAAACTTGCAACATAAACATTTATTAAATAATTACCTGTCCTGTTAATTAACTGTTTAGTAGCTTGTGAGTTAACTGCAAGCAGCTGCATTGCTTTTGGGCTTTATGAAGGCCAACAACAATTTAAATGGACACTTAATTATTTAATGACCAGAGACAGTTAATGGAGCAACTTTGATTAATGCCCACATTTTGCCCTGGTTCTGAACATTCATGACAGAAGTGGAGGCAACTATGTAGATGTAAATGTGATAGATTGTACAAAAACAACAGGTACTTTTTATTGCTGTTAGGAGAATAGCTACAAGAGGCCTGGAGAAGCAGCCAGCAGTGCAGGACTTCATACAATTCTCTTTTTGGGAAAAGGTGAGGGAGAGACATGCTCAGGACATGACTGATTCCTGTCTGGGCTAGGTGTGTACATCACAGAATATTTTCACGTAGGGAAATTTACAATATCTGGTTTGGGCTGAACTCTAAAGCAGCTCATCATAAATGCTCTTGCATAATCACTTAACTGGCTATCATCATCCTCCAGATTAAGTTTTCCACCTCCTCTCCTCATCTACCTAGGGCAGGATTGCACAAAAAAAAAAAAAAAAAAAAAAAAAAAAAAACAAAAAAAAAAACAACCAAAAACAAAACCAACAAACAACAGCAAAAAAAAACCCCAAAACAAACATCCAACAAAACCCCCACAACATGCACACAACCATATCAGGTCAAACTGTTCATTATTCAAAGCATTTAGTCTTAAAAAGCTGAACTTCTTTACTGGCTCAAGAAAGTGTAGAGGTATGTGCACTCTTGCTATGGCTGGCACAAGGGCAGGAATACTAAATTCAAACAACCCTCTAGCATTAATTTTTAAATGCTGCACTCCTTAAAACCAAACCAAAACAAAAATTCCAAAGTGAATTAGGTGTGTTGCAAATATTTGAGTTAATCTGAAAATACATTTAATTACAGTGTACAATGAGCTGCACACACAATAACCATATTTAAAAAACAATGACACTTGCCTGACACAAAGTAGAGAAGGCAAGAGGCAGGAAAAGAACACAAGAGCAAGCAGATTAGCTGAGGATCAATAGCTATTGAATTGGACTGATGTAGTGTGTAAAATTAAATGAAAAAAAAAAAGCTGAAGTGTAAAATTTCTGCTGCATATAAAATACTCAGGTAATACCAACTATTGCAACCTTTACATTATATAGTGCAATCTCAGATGTCAACAGTAAGCTAGTATAGCCAAACAAAATAATAGATAAATTTTTTGTCAGGAACTACTACTTTCAAAACATTATTCCCTACAAATCTAGGTTAAAATCCATCTTCCACCAGGTAAACACACATTCAGCTCTACAATGAGTGTATCCAGCAGCTACAATAATATCCAATGAACCAAAGCTGGCAACTCCCATGTAGCTTTAAACCAAAACCAACTAAACTCAAAAACCACAAAGGTCACATAAAAGACACTAAAAAGCAACTCCTCACTGGGAATATAATCTATTAATGAGTATTTGCTTCATCACACAGTTTTAAATATGTAAGGTCATCCAATACTTAATTTCCACATCTAATTTCCCCTTAATGCACTTATTAAAATAATCTACTTTTCCTCTACCTGTTAAACACATTACTTACAGTTCAATCAAGTTTAGACTATTCTGGCTGATTTAAGTATTTTGAAGAAGGGAAGAAGGGAGGAAAAGAAATCATCAAAATCCTAACTAGGGGCTTGCTGCCAGCAGTTACTCAAGACCTAGTTGGACTTAAATTACAGATGTACGTTACAACTGAAGTTCAAACATTTAGAAAAAGTAATTTTTAGAATACCTTGAAAGTAAAAATTGCAGTTGATAGTGCAAACACAGTAGGACCTCAAGGACAACTCACTGTTATGAAGCAAGACTGCTTCAATTTTTACTGAGCTTACACATTTTTAGGTTCAACTGCACCGATAATTAATTACTTATTAGATACTTTAGACATATTGCTCTGAAAGCAGCTCCATAATCTATTGAGTATGCTAACTCATCGACTTTTAATCTCCTTTTACTTGGTCATTCAGTACCTAATGTGTAACACTTATGAGTGATACAGAAGTCTGGAAAAGCTATTGTGTTTTATGTAGGATTTCTTTAAAAGATAATTCATGAAATTAGTTATAAATTTGAGATTACCAAGTTTTTGCCTTGGAAAATGTCCACCTATTCCTGAATGCTTATATTAATTGAAAAATTTATTTTAGTTTATTTTTTCCATTACAAGGAAAAAAAAACCCAAACAAAACAACAACAAAATCTAGCAATGCATCCTGTCAAAATCCAAAGAAAACCTTCTATTTTACTATTATCCATAAGTGCTACAAGGAAAAATAGTTTTAATTGGGACAACGCTATGTAGTTCTTCATCTCTTCTCACGTGGAAAGTCTTAGAGGTTTAATGGGCTGTGCATAAGAATACAGCTGTGACTTACAGAATACATGGGCTTCATAGTCTTATGTCTACAAAGTTTATGATCACATGTACAGCTATTAAGTAATGGATTCTAAATTAAAGGGGTAGTTTTAGCTTAGTTTTTCTCTTCTAGCTTCAAAATAATTATTTCTTCTATATGTCATAAAACATGGTCAACAAATATAATGTAATAATATAAAAAGTGTTGAGGTCAGAAAAGAGAAGAGTACAAAGAGCTTTATTTTATCACTAGCATCTATGAATGGAATTATTTCAGTTCATTACCAAAAGCCAGAATTCCTTTTTTTACCCTTAATATTTTAACAAATACAAACACAGTTTTTAATCATTAGGTGTTTCAGTCTCTGCTGGACCTCTGATCAGTCTTCGGATTCCCCTCTTCCCTGCAGGACCTTTTGGTTTAGCAAAACTCTGTTTGTAAGCATGTTGTTTTGGATGTACTTCTTCATAAAGAAAGTCAGCAGTTAACTCATCACCATTATCTATTTCAATCTGGCAGAAAAAACATCATACTCAAAGTCAAAAACATTTAGAAACTTTGCTGAAACTCAATACTATATTAAAACCATATGTGCAATAATGTTCAAAGTCAAGCATGACAAGTTTTCCAACTTGTGCCTAGTGCCCTGAGAAATCTTGGAGAGTTTTTCTGAGACTCCCCTATACTCTTACCACTATTAAGTGTGACTTAATTATTTTCCTGAAATATAAGCATGACTAAACTGTACATATACTAGGGACTTCTTTTTGTCCCAAGCTTTGGCACAGTGTACCTGTTAACACTAAGTAGGAGAACACATTCCATGTGAAACTAGTGCTTATTTACTCATTTTAAGTATTTACACATTTTAAGGATCAAAACTGTTCAGTACAACATGTTTTAAACACTTACTGTATAAGCAATGTGCATGCTTATTGTTATCTCTTTACAAAGAGGGGGAGGAGTATAAAGAAGGTTATATTATTAGCTGGCTACTGCCAGTCAGCAAGTACTCAAGTGTTTAGCAAGCTAAAATAATGAACAAAATGGAGGGGAGTGTTTTAGTTTTCAAAATCTAGATATATGAAACCAAACAAAAAGAAAATAGTGTTCTCAAGCCAAACTCCGCTGTTTTAAATTGCAGGAATTTAGAATTCAGAGAAATGCTATGGCCTTGCTCTGCTGAGCATTCAGCACTTCATGCCCTGCCAACCATAACACTTGCCAGACCCAGTTTTGCTGTTACAAGTACATGCTTCAGAAATTTCAGTCTGCAGGAATTTTCAGGAGTCGCATGGTGCTTTAGTTTTGTTACAGAAAGGCAATTTCAGAAAAATAATTACATACAAATACACATAGCAAAAATCTAGTTAATTCATGTCATTTCACTAAAAATGGTTAGTATTAATTCTGCTATTTTTAAGGTAAACATAATCTCTGCAGAAACTAAGCTTCCACAAAAGTCTTAAAAACATATCCATAGGTAACAAGTGGACCATTTCTGTGGTCTCTGCTTGGGAGGTGAGAAGCAACTTTTTGCATTGCAGTAAAATCTATACAGTGTGAAAAGATCACCTTACTTGCAAATACTTGTTTGCCCCATCAAGGATTCCTAAGATAGCAGTTCTAATTTTCAGAACTGCAGCTTGAAATTATTTTGAAAATCCCTACATAGCTGTATCTTAAAGGAATCTTAAAGGAATTTAGTGTTTAACAACAGTAATATGTTGTGGTCCAAAATACGACACAACTTTGAGTAAGAAATCATGTTAATTCTATAAAGTCCTTCAAAGTACTCTCAAGCACTTCCTTGATGCACAAGAATATATTTGTTCAAGATAAAAGTGTAGCAATTATGAAACAGAGTAAAACTTCCATGACTTAACTTTGTATCTTTAGCTCCATCAACAATTATTTCCTGTTCAGGACAAACTAAGTTACACTTGTCATTGTTTAGACAAGGTGGTGACAGAGACAGTTACAGTTTTCCATTAAGAAGGGAAGACAGGTATGGAGAACCGACTGCACTTACCTTTCTAACTATCTGCATCCACAGCTGTGTTTCTACAATTTCTAACAGTGGACTTTTGCAACTAGAGTAGAGCATTCGTTCTCGTATACTACAGGTATACCCTGGCATAGAGTAGATGAAAACTGCAGGAAAAGAAAACAACAACACAAATCAGACCATAAACACACTCTATCAAAACTGTATCATAAAACCATTTATAGCAAAGAGGCAATGGGAATCAACTATTTAATCTGAAAGCAAAAAATGTAGTGCTGTTCTGGAGCTTTTTTGCTTCAGCAAGTGTTTAATTTCAAACAGAGGATAAGAGAATGGCCACTATCTGTATGTTTTCACATTTATGGGTGCTCATAATCAAAAGGGATAGCTCACTACTTTACAACCATAAGAGCTCTCCTTCACAAGTTCAATTTCACAACCAAATGACTCTGAAATTTATGATCATGCTGACACATCTTTCTCTCTGACTCAAAATTCCTAAGGAATTTGAAACAAGCCAGTGAAGTTTCATATTGAGAAATTTTCTCATACTTATGGATTCCAAATAGTCTCCTTCATGTGTGTGCTTATACAGGAAAAAGTGGTAACGTGCAGCATCCTTTGGAACTCTTTTTGGCAAGTCCTTAAGTTCAGTATCAAGTGTGTTGGCCAAAATAATAGTTTCATTTTTCATATCAATTTGCTGTAAACAAAGCAAACATGAATATAGTTAATACACAAAAAACAAACCAGAGAACATGACAGGATGGAAAAAAGTTTGGATTAATATAATTCAAAATAGTAATTTGTCAGCATACTACATCAACACACATTGTTTAATATGTGGGTAATCTATATTATACTCATTATTAAAAAACATTAAAATATTTTATACTTGCCAGTTGCACATAATTGAGTTTCTTATTTTTCAGTTTCTCCAGAGCCTGAATAGCTTCTTTAGCAATGGGGAATGCTACTCCTTGCAGTGTTTGATGCTTGGTATCTACACCAACATCTGCCTGTACCTGGAACACAAGTCAGTTGAGTTGTTAAAAGAAACCTCTGCAGGCATTTATTTGGTTTCATACAATGACTGACAATGCATTTCATATGGTTACACACAGAGTTAGCAGTTGCTATTCCAAAAATAAACCACCCCAAGAAATCATCCCCATATACAAAAGATTTGCATTTTTAAATTTACAGGTGATGTTTTTTTGCTAGCCTGCAGAATTTCATATCTCTGAAACATGCTCTGTTCTGCTTAGCAGAGCAACAAAATCATGAGAGGGAAAACTGGTTCAAATGTCAGTGAAGAAGTCTAAGTCAAAATCTGGTATAGAGATACAATAATCCAGGAAAAAAAAAATCTTGATTTTCATATGCTGTGCTATACTTTTGAACTGAAAATATTCCTTATAAACTTTGTTACAGCTTTAAAAAATTTAGATCAGAACAAAGACATGATTTCCAGGGAGTCAAAATTTTTCAAGGAAGAGAGAAATTATGAGACAAACTGGTCTTCTAGAAGGAAAAGTAAAGCTTCTACTCTTCCCTCCTCCTTTAACATACTCCCCCAAATAGCCTATACCAAAACCAAAGCAAACAAAACAAACAAACAAAATCCTTTTTTTTTTTTTATTTCTAGAAGGTCTACCACAAATTAAAAAAACAAAAAAATCCAGGACAAGCTAGACAATTATTCATAATCCAGTTATATTAGTGTCAAATTCTTGGAGAGAACAGTTATTTTAAAGCTAAAGTTAAAGAATTTATGTTTATCTTAGCATTCATTCAGTTTCTCTTAAAACGAGCTCTGGCCTCCAGTCTTCTTCAGTCTTAGTTTATTGTCTAAGTACTGTTTTTCTAATATATTTACTTCCTTTTTAAGTTTCACAGTTACCTTTAACATTAGTTATGAAGCTGCAAAAGTCAAAAAAGTGTATCAAATGGAAAGCGTGGACCTTTCCTCCCTAGATCTATCAACTAGAAGATGCGTAGCTTTATTAAGAAGAGATGCTAATAAAATATGAAACAAACTGATAAAAATTTAAAAACCAACACTTGTGGCAACACTTACTTATACTTCACATTTTAAAGAACAGCCTGTCAGCAACAAGAAAAAACAAAAAGAAGAGGTGGAGAGCTTACTTTGCACAAGGATTGATAAATTTATGAACAAAGCTATAGAAAAAATGTTTTGCAAAATATATATCTGCATCAAAGCCTGACTGACAAATGTAAAATAGGCATAATGAAAATAATAAACCATCATAAAATATCATACTCTAGAATCCATATTAAAGTACAGGTAGAAAATAAGTACTCCAAACTTAAAAACAAGCTGCGAAGTGTGGAGATACACAAGGGAAGAGAGTAACCCAGTGTAACTCCAGATATAGGAAAATGAACAGAACCACCTAAGGCACTTAAGAATCCTTAAATTCCCACCGCTAAGATTTAGTTAGTAATGGTTGCTGAGTGCTGGATAAAATGGCAGACGAAATTTCCTGTGAATAAATGTCAATATATGCAGGAGGAAAAAAAGCCTCTTTTTCTACTTGTATGGTGACTGGGTTGAGCAAGACCTTGCATGTCATTCTGACTAAATCTGAAAATAACCCCAAGGCAAAAAATAAAAAACCCGAACACTCCCCATCCACAAATGAAATGTTACAAATTGTTAGAAAAAAGAGTAGAGAACAGAACACATTGTTACGCACTGTAGATATCAGTAACATGCCTGCATCTTGAATACCACATGCAGATCTGGCTTCCCCATCCCTCCATCTCATAAATTATATAGCAGAACTGGAAAAACTGCAGAGAAAAGCAAAAGGATCAGAAGTATGGAGTGCTTTGTTTAGGAGGAAGAACTACCCAGATTAGGACTTGTCAGCCTGGAAGAGATAACTGATAAGGAATACAACAGAGGTCCATGGATAGAGAATCATGGCACAGTTGTGGTTGGAAGGGTTCTCTAAAGGTGATCTAGTCCAACTCCCCACCCAGAAAGCAGCAATATCTTCAAATTCAGAGCCCCATCCAACCTGACCTTGAATGTTTCTAGGGATGGGGCATCTACCACCTCTCTCAGCAAACTCTTCCAGTACCTCATCACACTCACCATAAAACAAATTCTTGCTCACAGCCAATCTAACCTACCTTGTTTTAGTTTAAAACCATTCTCCCTTGTTCTACTGCAGCAGGGCCTGCTAAAAAAATCTGTCCCTTTATTTTTTACAAGCCCCCTTTAAGTACTGAAAGGACACTAAGATTTCCCTGAAGCCTTCTCTGCTCCAGTCTGAACAACCCCAACTCTCTCAGCCTTTTGTCACAGGGAATATGTTCCAGCCCTGTGATCATTTTTGTGGCCCCCTTCTGGACCCACTCTAACAGGTCCATGTCTTTCCTGTGCTGAGTACCCCAGAGCTGGATGCAGTGTTCCAGGTGGAATCTCACCAAAGCAGAGCACAGAGAGGATCACCTCTCTTTACATGCTGGCCACACTGCTTCTGACGCAGCCCAGGATATGGCTGGCATTCTGGGATCCAGAGGGCTTTATCTAAAGGGAGGGGGAAACTGAGGATTGACTGAATGACTCTTTTTTGCCTTTGCCATACTATCTGTAGGGGTATCAGAATAAATTAGAGATTCTAGAGAGCAGTCAGTGGCTCTTTATATAGTATTTTGTAAGCTGTGGAATATGCTGCCACAGGACCTGTGGCCAACAAAACCTTTATGTGGATTTATAGAAATGACAAGACTAGATGATGGATGAAAATCCCATTAAGAAGAATTATATAGTAAGATGTCATCTGCAAATGCTGAGGCAACAGAAGAGCATTTAAGGTAATTATGGCCTTCTTGCCCTCCTCCTACATCCTTTCTAGATTTCTGCTGATCTCTCAAGGACTTGAAACAGACTAGGTGATCCTTTGATCTGGCCCAGTAAAATATTTCTTAGGGTAATTATGAAAGAATATACATATGGAAAACTTTTTAAAATCAGAAAGCTTTTAGTTTTCTAAGTCTAATTACAGGCTTTGTAGTGGTGGAAACAATGAAGAGAAAAATGACGTAAGTTAATGTACTGTGACATGTTTCAAAGAAAGCCAAAATGGCAGCAATATATAATTTATGTGTCCCTGAAAAGCAAAGGTATTGCTGCTGAAATTTCAGAACACAAAGATGTGGTTTGCACAAATCACCTTCTAAACACATTGTATGTAGTACATACACTAATACCAGAAGTGATCCCACAGAAGTTTTACATTCATTACTGTTTTTTTTTAAAAAAAAGCTGATGAAGTCAAATGCAGTATTTAATGATGGTGAATGTATTTCTGCACTGAATTGTTAAAATCAGACATGAAAACTAACAAAAGACACCACTGGGGAAAAAAAAAAAGTCAATAAACAACAAAGTTGCACCAAAAGCACAGTAGGGTAAAAACAAAAGATACACAGCTGTATTTAACACAATGGCTGCCTGGTATCCAGCTGCAGAAAGAAATCATACTTCAAACACATGTACTACAGCTCTAACATACAAGTCTAAAGAACAAATAAGTTCAGTACATGACCTATTTTAATATACATCTGATATGAACAGTGTTCAAATGAAGGAAAAATGTGATAAAAAGAATCCTCTGAAACTTTTCAGTCACTAGCTAGGTGGCAATCATCAATTTTTTTGGTTAAAGGCATTTGATAGAGATTTTTCTAAAAAGTGTTTGTAGCATAAGCAAATCAGTCTTTTAAAGTGATCAGCTATTTGGTTTGGATTTCTGTTTTATTTTTATTGGAATCCTCTTCCCTTCCTCTCTGTCTTAAAGAAAAGTGCACTGGTACGGGAAACTGTGCACCTTTCCTCTAAAAATAAGGCTGCTGAAATACTCCTGGCAATCACGCACTGCAATAGTTGCTATTCTGTGTTTTCTCTGCAATTTCTGCCACCATGGGAAACGCATGGGGGTCATCACATGTGGACAATGACTGAAGTTGGAAGACATCTCCATAGGTCACCCTGTCCAAAGACACTGTTCAATCAGGGCCACCTAGAGCCAGTTGCTCAGTTGTCTGTCCAAACATCTTTTGAATATCTCCAGGATGGAGACCCCATAACCTCCCTGGGCAACCAGTGCCAGTGCCTGGTCACCCTTCACAAAGAAGGACATCCAGTGATGCTAAAAGCTAAGGTTGCAACAATTAAGCTCTGCAGGTGCCAGGCCTCTGATTGGGACACTGGGCCTTCCAAACATCGTGAGATCACTCATGCCACTTCAACTCCAGCCACCATCACCCTGCAGTTTCAACCCACTGAGAAGTACGTTTATATGCTCATCCACTCACACTTTCTGAAACTTTCCATTTTCTGTTCTGCCTTTTTTTGCCCTAGAAAGACATTTCCCTACAATACATTTGGAACTCTGCACCATTTCCCACCCATGCTTGAAGACATTTTAGGTACCTCTTTAATCTTAATTTGTCGAAGTTCCTCTTCTGCTGCAGTCAAAGGTGCAGGGGAGGATTGTGATATCAAGTATTTTTTATATCCATTCAGTGAAACATCATCCTGAAAACACAATATCAATATTTATCAGGGGTTTTTTAGAATTTTAGAAACTTTTCTTCAGTGATTTTCTATGTAGCATTGCAAAAAGTAGTTGCCTTCCATACAGTTATGGTCATTTTATTTCAATATTCCAATATTCCATTATGTCTTGTTTCAGAAGCCCAGAGGTATCCAGGTTAATACATATGAATTAGCAGGTGGGACCATAATAGGGTTCCACCACAATAACAGTGCTTGTTGCAACCAAACCATCTTTAGGTTTAACAAAATAAAGATGAAGTAACCCAATGATGCTGATGATCAAGATCCCGAGTGAGATCAGCCACTTGAACACCTTGAAGAAACTGTGATTTTCACACAGATAAGCATTAAAGACCAGCAACAATTAAGAAGTTTATAAAGACACTGAAACCAGCAATTTAGAGATATATAAACTGTAACATAATGAGCCTGGGAAAAGTGAGTTATATCAATGTCATCTTCCATGTGCCCCAGGCCCATTCTGAAATAACAGTAAGACAGATCTAATGCTCCTTCCTTAAAACTGAGATGAAAGCTCAGATTTGTAAGGCTAGACACAAATTCCACATAATATATAGACTGCTAATGGTTTGGTGCAAGTGGCAGTGAGAGACTGGTTGATTGAACAGACAAGAAAAAAATAACAGGATCCCTACCTGTAAACCCTCTTAGCAAGTCAGTTATCTACTCGCCTAGAATACAGCCTCTTCACGTTTGTTAGAATAATGAAGCCTCCATGACAGGTTAATGATAAATATAACACATTATTTACTCACTGAGCAACAGAATTATTAGTCTCATGTCCACCACAACAGCCCATTTCTCTTTCACAGCTTTTTTCCCATTACAATATCCTCTATTCTTCCCCAAACCTCCAACTCCTTCCATTCTATTAGAGAACTCATGCTCATGCAATGAGATTAAGAGATATGCCTATTATTCTTAGGTTATTTAGTTTTCATAATCATTGAAGCAAGGACTTCTAAGCCTGATTATGTTAACTATACCTATTAACTTGTTCAACTTTACCTATTACCAACTATACCTATTAACTTGTTCAACTTTAACACTTGAATAATACATAGCTTTTAACTCTTTTTTGCCTTAATCCAGAAAGACCACAAGCAACTCACATTCATACCAATAACATCAGCTATTATATTCAGCATTTAAAGTCAGTGTCCTGACTTTGAAAAGAAAAACATACCTGTACTGTTCCAAATACTTCATCCTTAATATGGCCACCTCCAAATTCTTTCTTAAGCGTTGCTCTGGTTGCTGCATACAACATTTTTTGACGAACCTAGCATATAATAAAACAGTAGGTTTTTGGTTCTTTTTTTAAATTTTGCTGTACACAGAGAATCCAGTATGTTGGTGCACCAAGTCCATCAACAAACATCTTTCTTGAACAAGTATTTCAAGTGTTGAAACTGCACTGTAGAGCTCTGAATCATGATACTTACTTATACTATTAAATTCACAAGGTCATGATACTATGTATTATTATCAAAGTGACTTCAAAACTGAATTGCAGCCTTAGTTGGAGTATGAGCTTTTTTTTAAATGGGAAAAAAATCAACATAATCGTTACTAATTTTAAATGGGAAAAACCACAATTGTTTGAATCTTTTGTCACCTGGTCTGTGTACTAATGGATACAACAGACAGCAAAAAAGCAGACTCATTATTACTTTTGATTTGATAGTGACTCCAGATAGTTATGGTTCAATTACAGAGTGGAAAAATTACATTTGCTCCCTATTAACTTGTTGTCTAATATAGTCATTTACTCCTGTCTCAGTAGTCCCACCTTCCCTCTTTATTTCACCCTCATGTTATCCTCTCCACAATACTTCACCTTTTCCACATAATTGTTGGTGTCTTATTATTTCCTAACTGCTAGTGAATGTAGTAGGAATACTGGAACACCTTTGCTTTCTGCCTTCCCTTATCCCACATTCCCAGAACCAGTATCCTAGTTTCTCGTAGAAATCCTTAATTCTGACCTCAGTCCTGTCCCATGCTCTCAAACCACTAAGAAGGACTGTATTCTGTGGCACAACACATATCCACAGGTGCCATCTGGGCAGCCAGCAAGCCAAACAGAATAAACAGCTTGAGCTCAACTATAATTCTTCTCTATATGAGCACCCATTAAGATTTCTCTCCTATATCTTTCAATAAATTTTCTGAAATCCTGACAGTAAGACAAACAGGCAAAAAAACTGTATTGTGTCCACCAGTCAGGCTAAAAACATTGGATCAGCTGTACTCCATCTAGACCTACAGATCTGCTCTTTCACCATCTTAAAGAAACATTTTCCTAGTTTTCTTCTGGGAAAGTAGGAGGAAGCTGGGGAACGCTTCATTCCTCAAACCCTCTTCCTTCATATCTCAGATTCAGATCAAATAGTACTGTTGAAAAATCATTAACATGAAGCCTCTGATGACTGTTACTTACAGGAGAGTGATCAGGTGACCATGCAATGAAGATCCATTCATATCCTTGAGCATTCTGTGAATCTAATCTGTATAATATATAACATGGTTGCTTGTCTTCAAGAAGGGGAAGGACAAAGGAATCATAATCCTTTTCCCATGATCCAACTGGCTGCCTAGAGGATCCCACAACAAGCTGCTCTAAAACCAATAACCAAAGCTACAGGTTAGCAACTATACAGTTAATAGTGTCTGTCAAAATTAATAATTACAATAAGAACTTAATTGGACACTTAATTGTTTATAATTATGCCCAGAAGAATGGAAGACAAGAACAGTCAGTGTAAAAGTGGGTGAATTCCTACAAAGGTTGTGTATGTTCAAACCCTAACTTACTTTAACCAAAATTCTGATAGTTGAGAAGTAATGTGCTGGTTGTCATCAAGTTCTTTGATCAGAAGTGATACTACTGATGTTAGTTTCTCTAACATAATGTACACATAAGGGAAATAAGAACTGTATTCTAACAGTTAGTTTATTTTTTAATTTGGAATACTTAGGTATAAATAAGAGTAAACTTTCAAACTTTAGAATGATAATTAATGATGGTCTTGGTATCACATAATTGTGTTTGTACTCTTTGTAAGGAGTCAATAACTCAGTTACACAGTGAAAAGAGTTTGGAATGAATATCCTTGCACTAATCACTAACTTGTCATGTAAGTAGATAAACCTCTTTCTAATACAGCTTCAGAGCTATGGTCTCTTTAAATTACTGAAGTTGTTTATTATGTATAATTGGTTTAAGTCTGTACAGAATACTTCAATGGTATTTAATTATGTGAACAGCTGTAGCAACAAGATTTTTCTCTTATTTATACATCACATTTCAGTTTCCAAAGGAAATATTAGCATACCGTCTTACAAAACATTTATCAGCTTCCCAAGAAACACTAGCCCGCACAAGTGGAATAGAAATACCTTGTTTAAATGGGGTCCTGCAACAGTTTGAAGACCATCATAGTAGCTAGTAGGTAGTACAGATCACCTTTTGAGAGTCTAGGGCTTAACTTACTAAACTTCACACAAAAGTACAACAGCACACAAATGCCTCTACAGCAAAACTTCAAGCAAAACATTCCACCACAGTAGCTCACAGAACATGAACAGCTCAGGGCAAGGGTGTTTGGCCCTTCTTTGAATTAGACACAAAGTACCTGAACTACCCGAAGTTGTACATCTAAACCAAGGGTATTCAGAAAGTACTTGCCAATTCTGAACTCTAAGTGGATTTATACCCACTTGGATTTAAGATACAGCCAGAGGAACTTCATGCCCAGCAGCAAATCTCTTATTAACTCAGATTAGTAAAACACGATTTGAATTTTATCTGTTGGCTATTATCTGTTCCTTAAAGCTCCTGAAGACAGATGAGGCAACTGCCCTTCTTCCAGTATACTGGGAGTTTTACAGATTTCTTTTTGAACTGCAGAAAATACTATCAAAGACTGGATTCTGTTCCTTATAGAGAAGAAATGCATATACCTATAGGTTTATATCTATATATATGTGTATACACATGAATACATATGCACAAAAATTTAAAAATAGGAAATTAAAAAATAGGGAAAGTATTAAATTTGTATCTTGTTTCTAGGCTTCACTTCATATTATAAGGTAGCATATACACAAAAGCATATTGTTTTGCCTTGCTCAATGGGAAAAAAAAAAAAACCAAAACAGTGGTTTGTCAGCACTTACTTTGTGCTACTGAGACTATCACAAAGTCCTGCCTGTAATCTTAGTACTCCCACTGCCTTAAAGAAACTTATCTTAAAATTTTGGAGGACTTCCTAAGAAAAGCAAACACAAGGAAGGTAACAGTAGGTTATTTACCTACCAATGAAAGTGTGTCTGTGTATGTATGTACATGTAACATTCTCCAGCTAACAGATTTGTAGTGTACTGTAAATGAATGATGTCTAAAACAAATGCCTTCAAAGTGGACAACTGACATGCTTGAAAAGATGGACTAAAACAAGAAATATCTTATACAATGAATCAACATTGCTATTAAAGAATATAAAAGCAATTATATAGTATGTCTTTCAATGTTTGCAGCCTATATCCCTCGCCAAGAAGTTCAAAAATCAGACTCAAGTTCTGATCAAAAGTATGTAATTTTCTATTTATACATATATGTTGAGATTTAAAAAACAGTTTTAACTTTGAAAATCTAAATAAAATCACAGATTTATAAAGATATTTTCTATGTAGCCAGATTACTACTTAAGCATCTGCTTTAGCAGGACTTTCTATATGTACCACTTTCATCTACCTTTTTAACCAGGATATATCAGTATAAAATTTACAGTTCTACATCTAAGGTGACTGGTTGTGTAAGACTAGCTCTCTGTCTAGTGAAAGTAAACAGTGTCCAAATGCTACACAGGTGTGGAAATTTTCATTTCCTCTATTCTTTCTTTAGTAAGAGATAAGAATAAGCTTATTTATACTATCCACAGAAAATACACAGCAGTTCTTTGTAAAATATGAAATTACATTTGGGAGAAAAATTCAAATGCAAAAATACAATAGTATTGTAGTAAAAAAAGCTTAGGATCACCAAAATCTAAATTTTACCTTTTGTATATGAAAACCTTCAGTAACATTAAGTTTGGCAGAGTTCTGTTTTTTAAACAATTGTACATGTCATAAAAAAAAAAATAGGAAAATATCTAAAAGAACCAGAAAAAAAGAATAAAATTTGACTAACCATTGTCAATGACTATTTTTAAAAGCCTGTATTGTCCATTTCTGGCTCCAACAAAGATGTCTTTAACACTTCCACTAGCTGCAAAAGAAAGAAAATAAAAGTAATCAAATTAACACATTTCACTTCCCTAGGACAAAGAATATTCATGAGGGTAAGAACAACACTGGGGAAAATGTACAACTGGCCCTTTGCTACAAAGTTGGACAGCAAAACAAACCCAGGAGCAATGCTGCTGCTATGCTACACACTGTTCCAACCATCAGCATACCACACAAAGATGAAAAGCAACATTACAAAACAGCCCTGCTTTCTAGCATACCAAATGATCTTCAACATTGTGAAAATTACAGGTGACATCATATCATCAATCTCATGTTTCAGAGTTAACACAATAAAAATATGACGCATCTCAAATTGCAACAGCTTCACGAAGTCTGCAGGCTTAGCACAAACTTTCAGACAGAAGCTTTATGCCTGCCAGGAAAATGTTAGAGCTTGTCTGGCTGAAGTGATGGTCTTTCCTGAGAGCACCTCTCTGCAGAGTACCAGTGAAACCTGCCACTCATTGCTCATCTTTCATACCGCCTTATCTCCTTCTATGGTTGACAATGGTTGTCTTGTCTCCTTCTAGGGTTGATTGTTCAAGCCCCAACCTACTGTAGCAGGATAGCTTTACAGTGAATTTACAAAGTAACTAAAATATGTTACATGTTTGTAACATAAATCACATTGACACTATACCACCACCATGACAGACTCACTTCGGTAAACTGCTCCTGACTCACATGAAGACCATTCTTATCTCAACTGCTCTGCTAAATAATCCCAGTGCAAATCAGTTTAATTACACCAGAGACAGAGGCTTTTAAGGATTTACTGAAAAACATTTATTGCAAGCTGGTCCTTTAAGTAATCCCATAGGGCAGAGCATAGCACCAGCAAAACAAACATTAAACCAGGAAACAAATAAAATGGATTATTTATAGTCAGGTTGAGGCCAAGTGAACAGATGGGACCCAGCAACATTACTGCCCATACTCAGAACATTTTACTTTTATGTTCATCCAAGTGGTGCCAGCCCCATCCTGAGAGTCCAAAATGGCATGTTAAAAGAACATGTTACGCAAACAACTGCAGTGGGTTACCAGTTCAACCCCAGTTTCATCCTAGCTGTCATCTTCCCATTAACCAGTGCAGACCCTCATAGTAATTTCCTGCCAGCTTTTCTAATCATCTCTGTTGGTCTTCACCATTCCATTGGGCAACCAAACATTGTGCCATTTATTAGACTTTTTGTTCTCCCAGAACATTCTTCATCCTCTTCTTGTCTATTATCCTTTTGTTCCTTATTCGCTCATTTCAACAACACTACACATGAAAACAAGAACAGAATACAGCAGTCTCTACACCAATTCCAGAACTATGGCAGTTTCCTGAAAAAATATTTTGAGGCACTTGTGAAGTCAGCTCCCTATCAAGTGATATATGGGTTTTGTTCATCATGAAGGTTTTTAAATTCACAACAGTGATATTATTTTCTTCTTAAACTTTCTGCATAGCAGAGGGCCACAGAATCAAAATCTGGGCTTATTTCACAACTATTTTGCAGGGAATATTATCTTAAAATTATTTAGAAGACTGTAAACCCATTCAATTCTATTTCCCTCCTACAGTATTTATCTGCACTGGTCTGTTTAAAATGTCCAGTCCTTTTAGCAACTGCCTGGTACATATCACTGTGCCCATGACTTCATTTCTGTTTCCAGAAAAAAGCAGCCCATGCTGCCAAATCTTGTAATTGTTTATGAGTGACAGTAGCCCGTTTGTAGCTAAAGCCAGCAATGGCACAAGTAGAGCTATTCCTCTTCCAAATAGCAGAGGCTGATGCTTTGCTGCAAACAGGACTCCTGATTAGTGTCTGTGAGGCAGGTTCCCGAAGGAAAGCTGCCGAGCTCTCTACAGCTCTCCTCAGAGGACAAATGATTCTCAGACATGAAGCAGAGCCGCAGAAGAGGATTAGCCACTCTTTTGCTTACAATAAGCAACAGAGTATTCTCTTCTGCTCCTCCCTGCCAGCATCGCCAGGAGAACAAGGATTACAATTTACTAACAGGTTTCCCCAGACTGGGAAAAAAAAAACAACAACATTCCAGGTGCACCTCTAGTCTTAAAAGAAGAAGCTGCAAAAAAGACAAAAGATTGGCATGCAAAGGAAGGAAAACAAGAGAGGGAAAAGAATGCAAACCACACGCAGCTAATGAACAAAAAAGGGCATAGAAGAGCAGCTAAGGGCTGCCATGGCTGGGACAAAAGTCACCTTCAACAATAAATACCGGAGAGCAGGCAAAGTACATGGTACTAGTCACCAAACACGCAGATTGCAGAAATCCAGACAGTAAAACCCGATCCCTCCATAATCCTGCTATATAATCCCTGCTTAGCAATTCTGTGATTCAGGGGAACACGCTAATACTGCGAAACAATACGCTGTCTCCTTCTAATTGCTCCTCGCACCGTCCAAGGCCTGGAAACACGGGGAAAAAGGATCCCACATACTTTCCCCCTTTTTGGCCTCCAGTGATGGGCTTTATAGTGGACTCTCCTACGCCAGGGCTTCTGCTCCTCCCCAGGCTCTCGCTCCAAGGGACCCAGCAGCGACCCCCGGCACTTCCCGTGCTGTCCAACCCATCCCAAACTCGGTACAGCGACCCCGAGCAGGCGACAGCCCCCGGCTCGACGCTGACTCCGCCGCAGCAGGAAAACCTGCGCTGGGGGAGCTACCTGAGCCCAGGCGGGCCGTGCCTGCCATTCATGGGGCTCTGTATCGAACACTTTCCTCGGGCGGGCTCCCTGCCTCTCCGGGGCGGACAGGCGCGCTCCGCTGGGCCGATAAACCCTGCACGCTTCGCCTGTCTGGGAACGGAGCTATGGGTTCGACGCCGAGGAGCCGTGGCCGCCGGGGACGAAACCAGCAGCAGTTCCCCCGCTCTCTCGCCCCCTCGTCAGCCCGCGGCGCAAAGGACGGGCTCCTCCGGCAGCACACAAAGAGCGCACTAGTGGGAAAAATCCCGCCGGGAGCGGCCCGCTAAGCGCCCGGTGCGGCCGCCTGCCCCCGCGCCGCGCCCCGACCCGCGGAGAAAGGCGCTCCGCCCGCCTCCCGCCCGGCTAGCAGGGCCACGGGGGGGACGGGGCCGGCTGTCATGAGGAGCAGTGGGCACCGCGGAGCGGAGGTGCGCGGAGCCCCGCGGGTACCTTGGATGCCGGTCTGGTGGGACATGTCGCACCGCGCCCGGGCACCGCCGCCGCCGCCTTCCCGCCCGCCCGGCACGGCCCGGCCGCGCGCACGTGACGCGCCGCCGCCACTCAGCGGCCGGGAGG